ATTCAATAAGGACAAATGCAAAGTACTCCACTTAGGAAGGAACAATCTGATGCACACATACAGAATGGGAAATGATTTCCTAGGAAGGAGTAATGCAGAAAGGGATCTAGGGGTCATAGTGAACCACAAGCTAAATATGAGTCAACAGTGTAACATTGTTGTAAAAAAAGCAAACATAATTCTGGGAAGTATTAGTAGGATTGTTGAAAGCAAGACCTGCAATTTAATTCTTCCACTCTGCTCCATGCTGATTAGGCCTCAACTGGAGTATTGTGTCCAGTTCTGGGTTTCACATTTCAGGAAAGTTGTGGACAAATTGGAGAAAGTCCAGAGAAGATCAACAAAAATGATTAAAGGTCTAGAAAACATGATGTATGAGGGAAGATTTAAAGGACTGGTTTTATTTAACCTGGAAAAGAGAAGACTGAGAGGGGACATGTCAGGGTTCCTTCCCCACTCTGAACTCTAGAGTACAGATGTGGGGACCCACAGGAAAGCCCCCTAAGCTTATTTACCTGCTTAGATCAGTATGCTGCCACCACCCAAATAGTTTGAGTCATTTGGGAAACTCTGTCTCCCTCCCCCCCGCCAAAAAAAATTGTTCCCTCCAAAGTACTATAATCCTTCCCTGGGTAGCCTTGAGGGATTCCTCCACCAATTCCCTGGTGAACACCGATCCAAACCCTTGGATCTTAAAACAAGGAGAAGTTAACCATCCTCCCTCCTTTCCCCTACCAATTCCTGGTGAGTCCATATCCAATTCCCTTGGATCTTAAAACAAGGAAAATCAATCAGGTTCTTAAAAGAAGAATTTTAATTAAAGAAAAAGGTAAAAATCATCTCTTTAAAATCAGGATGGAAAATAAGTTTACAGGGTAATCAGATTCAAAGAGCCCCGAGGAACCCCCTCTAGCCTTAGTTTCAAAGTTACAGCAAACAGGGATAAACCTCCCTCTAGCAAAGTAACATTTACAAGTTGAGAAAACAAAGATAAAACTAACACACCTTGCCTGGCTGTTACTTACAAATCTGAAATATGAGAGACTTGTTCAGAAAGATTTGGAGAGCGTGGATTGATGTTCGGTCCCTCTTAGTCCCAAGAGCGAACACCCACCAAAACAAAGAGCACAAACAAAAGCCTTCCCCCTCCCCAAGATTTGAAAGTATCTTGTTCCCTTATTGGTCCTTTGGGTCAGGTGTCAGCCAGGATACCTGAGCTTCTTAGGGCAAGAGGGATTTTATAGTACTGTACACAGGAGGGTTGTTACCCTTCCCTTTATAGTTATGACAGGACATGATAACGGTTTTCAATTACCTAAAAGGATGTTACAAAGAGGAGGGAGAAAAATTATTCTCTTTAACCTCTGATGATAGGACAAGAAGCAATTGTCTTAAATTGCAGCAAGGGAAGTTTACGTTGGACATTAGAAAAAATGTTCTAACAGTCAGGGTGGGTAAGCACTGGAATAAATTGCCTAGGGAGGTTGAGGAATCTCCATCTTTGGAGATTTTTAAGAGCAGGTTAGACAAACACCGGTCAGGGATGTTATAGATGATGCTGGTCCTGGCATGAGTGCAGGGGACTGGACTTGATGACCTCTAAGTCCCTTCCAGTCCTATGATTCTATGAAAGGTGAGTCCCAGTTTGTAATTTCAAATAGTGGCAGTGATGTGCTAAACTGCTAGTTTCCTAAAAGTCTTTTTAAGGTTCCCAAATGGTTTCTTGGGTTTTCAAATGTTTTCTGAGTATCACATTGCATCTGATACTCTTCCATGTAAGGCTCCAAATAGTCAAGATATGGGATCCTTCCTTGAATTCATACTTATAGTTTCTTCTCTCAGAAAACCACCTGAAAGTGTCACTACTTACATGTGCTTTTCCTTTGATCATGGTGAGTGAGGAATCAAGTGCAGTGCACCAGAAGTGGAGAACAGGAGAGATCAAAGTCACACCAATGCCTGAGAACCATTATACAGGGGAAATCTTTAATGAGCCATGCCTAAATGATTCCAGCTGGTGAACCATGATGCTTGCTGCACTGGAAGACACATACACGAACCCCCTGGCAATATGATCTGGGGGGAAATAGTTTACCAACTCCAAATCTGGGAATCAGTAAGACACTTAGCATCTAAACAAAATCTACTATCCAGACTTCTAAGAAAGAGGCTCTGTAGCACCTAACAGCATGAGACACCTCAACTGGTATCCCATCTCTGACTGCTGCAGATCTCCAATGCTAGAGGGGCAAGTGAAACTGCCCCTTTCACTCTCCTCAGAGATTACAACTGTGAATCAGGTGGTAACATTCTTTCCAATACCCCCATGTGGCAGTCTGAAGTCCCAAAGCATGAGATGTTAAAAAAAGTAAATTGCTGATTAAAAAAAGAATAGATTGGGCACTTTTGAATAAAGTTTAATCTGGAAATGTGCTCAAATATAGATAGAGGGCAAATGAATCATTTTATATTTTCTCTGTGAATTCCTTCCTTTTCCAGCCAAAATCAATCTCTCTTCTTGAGTCATTGTTTACAGGATCCAATGGGGCAAATATTTTCACCCATTGAAAAAAAAATTGTAGTACTGGGATATTGATAGAAGTGCGGCGCTACAGTCATCCTTGCACACCCTGCAGGAAATTCACTGACTCTGACCCCATCCATTTGTAGCAGAGGTAGCTGCCTCATTAATAGTATTCTATTTTTTAATACTAGACTGGAAAATGGAAGAACTTTCCAAAAGGGGAAAGACTCTGAAAGCCGACATCAGGTCCAGTCAGGTAAAAAGAACATCCTTGTTTCATCTGAAGTTAAAAGGAGTCCAAAGCCAGCGACAGGATCCCCTCTCTTGGCTGGCTAAACAGATTGAAGTGGTGAGCATCAGCTTGACTTCCAGAGATGATCAGATTGTCCTAACAATGGGAAGGAATCAGAAAGCTTTAGTCAGCATGGAACTTGCTACCAGAA